GAATAATAATGAAAGTAATAACAATAAAGAACACAAACACAAAGTCACTGAGTCATGGCCGCAGGACCATGACAAAGAAACCACTTTGACACTTTTGTAGCACTTTTCTACATCATTCGAGCAATTGATCAAACCATCCCATCGTTTCAGGAGAAAGGCAAAACAGACTTTTTTGGAAAAAAAAATGTTGTATATGATGTTGTGTCAGTATAAAAAAGATACAAATTACATATTTTAATTGCCTAAGGTCAGATTACGGGTTAGGGTTAGTATTTCGATGACAATGAGAACTTAGACTTAGGTGATTAATGCGGTGGTATATGATGTATATCCATACTAGTTCAGGGTCAGGGTCAATAGTTTAAAATCTACACCAGCGGGTTTTTTTTGTTTTCCTTTAAACGCAAAACACAAATCCTGGAAACTGGGAGACCAAAGTTTCTTGTTAATCCTATAACAAAATAAACCCAGTGTGAATGTCAGTGTTCAAACGGGCATCAAAGGAGTTAAAGGTCAGTGCAAAGTCGGCCGCTGATTTATTTGCAGGGAAGCAGCTGCAGGTTTTGCCTGATTAAATAGATAACAGCGCTGATTTGCCCGCTCATTTCAGAGCAGGGTTTGTGTTTATATTCATCCTGATCAAATAACAAAGTGTATATTTGGTGATTTTGTTCGAAAGCTACACGGCAACACTCGGTTTTTTTTCCTCTTGTGTCGGCTGGCGTTTATGTAAAATGTTGTGTGTGAGAAACTTGAAGGCTCTGAATGCTGGATCAGAGAAATACCTTTTTTCATATGTGCACATTATCTTGGTGTCATGACACTCGTCCTACTGAGCTATAACTCTCCAGAGCATGTCTTCCATAAAGTTTAAAGTCGGTATAGATTTTCTAACAACACTTGCCTCGGGCTGTGCTCCATTTTTAAGTCTACCAAGAGAGAAAGCCTGTAAGTGGGCTGAGGTCGCTGAGAGACAGTTTAGAGTTTCTTGTGGATTTGAAGTATTTTGTCAAGCTTGTTTAGTTTTTTTTCCTTGTATAGTTACGCATATAGTATACAGCATTATGTAACTGTCTGTTGGCTTGTCCTGTGAGCTGCACTTGTGAAAGGGACATATGCCACACCAGTGAAAAGATTTGTCAGAATCAAAGGGGCTGACCTTCAAAATCACATACAGTGACCTTCTCTTCACAGAGCTTCAGAAAGCTAAGTAAGTCTAAATCCTCAACAGCTCCATTAGAAGGTCCTGCCTGGCTCAGCTGGTCGAAACGGAACAAAGAGTCCAGCCTCTTGCAGAGTGTCTCGTTGTGATGTAGTGCACGGCTAATTGCATCTCTGTCAGACTGATTTCTTTCTTAGGAAGAAGAGATGAGACATGAGGCAGACAAATGTCTGTTTTTGCTTTATAACATGTTAGAACCTATTAAAATTTCAGTTAAGATTCCAAGTACAGGTTTGTGCAATTACATGTTGAGGATTTTAAGGTAGTGTAACTCAGCGGTCCCCAACCCGGTACCGGCTCAGTGGCCGCGAGAGTTAATCCTCGCGTGTGAAATTTATGGTTTTCAGGGTTTTTATCGTTTTTTAGCGTTATTCTTTAGAATCCTTATCGTTAACTCAGTTTCCCTGGGTCTTTTCCCATGTGTTATGAATAAATCTTTTTTTTTTTTGGTACCGGTACTGGTTTTATTTTGTTGCATCTATCCGCAACACCTTAAAAGCCGGTCCATGAAAATATTGTCGGACATAAACTGGTCCGTGGCGCTAAAAAGGTCGGGGACCGCTGGTGTAACTTTACTGTACTTTTAAGTGAAATTTGTAGATCAGACAATAACATACAGCTCATAATGTACTTGCTTTATCTACCTTCCTCAGTTCAACTCTTTTAATTTGAAAAGCTTCTATTTAGAAAACCATCCAAAAAAATCCCGTCTGACACAAATCAATCAATCACTCAATCAATAAATCAACAAAAGGGTAAATGACTTTCTTCAACAGTGGGTTTTAGTTGGCTTTACTACACTTTGTTTACTCCGTGGTCTTTTTGTTGTTTTCGGGTTTTGATTTCCTTGCAAATATAATTGAGTTTAGACTTGAGGTTTTATTGTTGTTCCAAATGTTTCAAGTTTTGATTTTTGTGTTTGTTGAATGTTACGGTTCTTGTTTTGATTTCTTTATTCTAGCAGATTACAAGCTTTATTTTTTGTGTCCATTTTTGAGTATTTGCTTCCTGTTGTTTCTTGTGTTTTTTTGTAATGCCAAGTTTCAGTTTTACACCCTGTGTTTTGGTTCATTTCATTGTTTCTTTTAGTAGTTCCCTCAGTGATTCTTTGTTTTCTTTCTGTTACTTTCTGATTTATTTGAAGATTGAGTTTTCTGTCATGTCCTTTGTTAGTTATACCACGTGTGTTCTACTGTCCAATCAGACCTGTGTGTATAAATAGTCCCGTCGTCACAGGGAAGCGTCTGTTGTGCTTCCTTTTTTGCACTTGATCTTTTTTCATGTGTGTTGGTTTTCACATTTATGTCGTGAACTTTTTCTGCCTGAACTAATGGCCTTGTTTTGCATTCAAACCTCCACACTCTCAACTTTTCTGATATACAATATGCTTAAGAAATAATGATACAATTTCAAAGTGCTTCAATTCCACAGCTGTTCACCATAACAATCAAATCGCGAAATGTTAGAAAATCATGTAAAGCTCTAGTTGAGTCCAAGGATAAAAACATGGAGGTAGAAATGACCCTAATAGATCTCTTTTAATGTCCTTCCATCTTGCAGGGGAGTGGTTCGAGTGGACATTAATCTACAGGATGTTGATATCGACCAGTGCTCCACTGATGGCTGGTTTGCTGGAACCCATCGATGCAACCTGACCACTATGGAGGTGAGTGTGCCAAGCATAGGGGCTAGATTGATTTGCTCAGTTAAACTGAACTGTAATCCACACCTACTGTGTCACATCTACACAAGGCTCCAAATGGAAAACCAGTAAATCTGTATGTCTTGTGACAAATGTGGGGATCCAATTCACCTTAAATGATACTGCTAACAATATAACCACTAAACTGAAGTGTACAGTGGATACAAAGCATCACTTGATGTTTATCTATGCGAATATATCCCACAGCGTGCCAAGGCTGCAGGGAAGATTTATGTTTTTGTCACACATGAAGCTTTGTCAAAGGCAGCTGCAGCTCGTCTCAGCTATTACCTCTGTCAAGGTTGCGTTGTCATGAAATATGATGTGTTTGTCTGACACTGAATGCACAGCTTTGCGTGAAACTAGGTAGACAGAGATGAGCCAAGTCATTTTGTAGTCATTAGCCAACTGATAAAGTACACAGACCCTATTGGTTCAAATCTTGAGGGTTTCCTTCCAGGGTCAAGAAATATATTTAACTCTAAGTATAAGTGCCTGGAATTGAGACGGAGGGTTATACTCATGTTCAGCATTGGCAGAGTAGCTCTGGTCATTTTTAAAATGAAAAACGTCTTGTCTCAAGGCCTACTTGGAAAAGATGATAAAATTCTCAGTACTGTTATTCTTAAGAGAATGTCAGACATCCACATTCACCATTTTGAAAACTATTCTATTATCATTAAACACTGAAGTTAGGTTTTGGGTCAGATAGTCATATTACTTGGCTTGTTTTGGACAACTTTTTGATCTTTAGTTTCTAATTTCACCACGTTCTTCAAGTTAGCTTGATTAGCTCTGCATCAGTGTGAGCACCTTTATAAAAGCACAACGCCGTGTTTAGAGAAAACCAAACATCTTATGCTAGTCAAGCGTGGTGGTGGAGGGATGGGCTGGTTTTGCAGACATGTGAACTGGGCACTTATTCTGGAGTTAAATATGAGACCATCCGTCCAACAGCTGAAAGTGGGTCATGCAACAGAACATTGATTACCTATTTAAACTTAGGTTATTGCTGGTAAAAATGGTTCAATAACCTAGTGGATGACCAGTTTAAAATGAGAAAAGTATGAAAATAAAAGTGCAAAAGTAAAGATTTAAAGTTTCACTAATTAAATAATTAATAATGCCATATTATTCCTGCTGTTAATTGCAGCCCTTTATTTACCTGTCCTGCTGTCTACCTAGCAGGTAGTGTCCTGTCTGTTTCAGCCTCATCCTTAAGACTGATAGATTTTGAAGAGGTGCCGTAGATCAGGCTGCTTCATAATGCATGTGATGTAATGGATTGCAGTGAGCCTCTTTGAATAATTAATCACTCTCTTTGTCTGAGCACTTGCACCTCTCTGTGGACAGTCAATGCCAGAGACATTTGACATAGTGCCTCTGTGTCGGGTGACTGCGAGGACAGAAATGCTTGGTTAATGGAATGGATTTTAGCCGGGTTTGCGGAATAATGTGTGCTCACACCGCGGGAGCATGTCAGGAGCGTGCTTGCTCAGAGCCGAATGATGAAAGCTGTTGTGGTTGTGGCACACTACAGGATGTGTCCTGTGTTGCTTGACAGCTTTATCGTGCAGAGGTGCTCATTATTGTCATGCCTGCTAGATAAACTATGTGGACAGGGAGAGCAACTGTATATGTGGACGTACGCTGCCCAAGAGCAAGAGCAGCTGCAGTCACCTCATTATTAGTCTTTGATGTGGAATGCAGGGGTTGTAATTCATATGTTTTGCAAGAAACTAAAAAGCAAAATCTTTGTGTCTGTTAGAGCCTCTTTCTGGTCTTAAAGTGCATGAACAGGCAATTTGGGGCTGATAGAGGAGGCATAGAAAGCATGACTGAAGTGTAATCAAGTGTTTTAGGATTTTTTGTGTGGTAATGCTGTAAAAAACACTAAAAGGGTTCCCCTGTATTTGCAAATAGGCATTCATTTAGTTTTACTGACTGTTTTTTAAGCTGTATAGGTATTCCCTCTTTATGTGCAGCAATTTGATGTGTAATGGGTTTCTTTGGGACCATTTTAAGATCCATGTGAGGTGTACTTTCTTTGTTTTATTGGAAACAAAGCACTTTGTTATGATGGTGTTGGGGTTGTTTATTTATGTGCAGCATTCACATTTCTTTTCCACCCTCAGATGCTCTTTATAGCAGCATTTACAGCAAACCCGTCACTACTACTTAGTGTCCTTTATGCATGCATCTCGCCATCATTATTTGCATAACAACTACGACTTCCATGCGTCGCGCATCCGCTGTTTTTCATTTGCATCTTAGGAGCTGCTTAAGTGGCACCATTCCAGCAATTGAATTTGACAAAATGCAGTCGCTTCCAGCCGCCCTGCCGGATTTCCAGGCCTCTCTTTCCTCTCAAGCTGCTGTTTGTCCAGCCGAGCGTACAGGCAGCCCAAACTCAGATGGAGGCAGATGACATGGATGACTGATCCAACAGGCGCGCACACTAAGGCAAAGCACAATGAAGCTCAGATTATTGACAGGAAAAATACAACAACCCCAACAGCATCCAAAGCCTGTGGTTATTTGAGGGCAATGCTGTCTTAAAATCTGTCAATATTTGTCTTTGATTCTTTAGTTTGTATTTTTGATTTCTTATGTTATATTTGAAATATGTTAAGTTCTTGTATTGTTATTATTAGTTTTGTTGAGTTTAGTCTTGTGTTTCACCTATGTCTCCTTGTTTATGAGTCTTTTTCTGTTTGTCATGTGTTATCTCCTTGTCTATATAGGTTCCCCCTGTGTCTCTCTCCTCTGTGTCCCTTTCCCTCTCTCTGTCTTTTGTGTCAGGCTTGCAACTTGCATCCCAGTTCATGTGTCTCCATGCTTCCTGTTTTATTTTGAAAGTATTGTGTTTACATGTTCAGTGTGTTTAGTTTTGCTTCCCCCGTGGCATCTTGCTCATTTGTGTCAGCTGTGTCTCCCCAGGTGTTTCCACTTCCCTCATTGCCCTTCTGTGTATTTAAGTCCTCTGTCTTCCTCTGTTCAGTGTTGGTGTGTCTGTTTTCTTTTCTTCATGTCATGTCTTCAGGAATCTCATGATTCTGTTTAGGTTATGTTCATGTTTGTCTCATAGTTTCTCATATTTACCTGCTCAGAATCATGATCATGTCTTATTGTCATAGTTGTCATAGTTTAGTTTTTCCCAGTCTAGGTTTTAGTTTTAGTTTTCGTCCCGGTTTGCTCTGCATTGATTTGTATTCACGTTTTTTGGCCAAATAAACGGCTCACGTTTTGTTACACCTTAGTTTTTGTCTCTTCCGTGTCTGCTTTTGGGTCCATGCCACAAACGCACTGGCCTGCCCGACGGGACAACTTCATTTTCATTTCACCATTTCTTACAGATTTCTAAACTTTGTGTGAAATCATTAAACAATACCATTTTGTTGGAAAAAATATTATTTGACAAATGAATATCAAGATGTCACCAGCTGCTGTGCAAGCTGAAGTTGAACTGTGTATGACATAATCTCTGGGGAAGCAACTGAGTGATATGAAAGACTCACAAAATAGCAACCTGCTCAACCTGTTAATACACAGGATTCCTACATAGAGATTGTGAAAAAGGCTGAAGTCACACCTTCTCTGTATTTTCCTAGAAAAAGACCCCTTGCTGCTGATTTTCAATCCAGTTTTGGGTTCGACCATTATTCCCGTTTCCCTTCCATAAGAATGGCTTCTTGACAGCTACTCTTCCATTAGGATAATCTCATTTAGGTTAAATGGATCAACTAAAAAGGTCAGATGCATCTCTCAGGTCCTTTGTCAGGTCTGTTAACCCTTTAAAACCGGTCGGAGTGGGCATGCTCCGTTTTGCGTAACTATTTTTAAATCCCTGTAGAACTGCAACCACGTAAGCTAGCACAATAATTTTTTTTGCATATGAAACCAGAGGAGTTGTACTTACATGTTATGCCATCAGCTTGCCCTAGGTCACGGTTTCTTATTCGGTTATATTCCAGAAACACGCTTTGCCGATCCGATCAGCTGTTCATAACACTTCCTACGTTGGAACAGACGTCAGCGCGAACTATGTCTGCCATTACTTGCCCGAAACCGGGAGTGACGTCATTTTCGCAGAAAATGTAGTTTACCTTCGGGGCCTTATAAGCCTTTGACATCGGGGACATCGGGGCCTTTATATTTTTTCTTCGTTTTTCCTGCAGTATATAAAAATTGGTGTATCTCAAAATAAAACTATGAAGACAATCAAAATGAATTTCCTGTGGTGGGAAACTATTTTGTGCAACTTTTTTGTATTTACAGTTTTGAGGGATAAACCTCTTAAATTTCTCTAACTAGAAATATATGTAAAAAAAAAAACCCCACAAAAACAATTTTCAATTTGTTTGTAGTTTATTGCACTTTTTTGCAATTTATGTAGTTATTATGCACTTAATGCATACATATTATTTAAGTTTGGGCTATAACGGTTGTATTGATGTATAGCAACTTGAAATGCTCCCAAAAATGGCACTACAGCATGTAAAAATATAATATAAGCTCTGGCGGACTTGGTTCTATGGTAGGTCTTAAAGGGTTAAGTCATGACTTTCAGATACCGTTCTTCTGCTGTAGACAGAATTTTTTTTAAGCCTGCCACTTCTTATTTTGTCATCTCTTTTGACCAATTTCCTCAAAATTTTTAAAGACACATTGCACACCATGCTGAACTATACCAGGTTCAGTGCTAATAGCCTTTTGGAAATCACCTCATTGGTGCAAATATGCTGCACTATGCCTTTTCAAGCTATGCTATCTTGGGCATTTTGTAATAGTGCCAACTAAAGAAGGATGGATGGCTTTTGCACCGTACAGTACATTACTATACACACATTGCCTCAGGAAATATCAGTACTCAAGCACTTAAAACCATAATGCGAAATATAGACATAAAAGAGGAAAGGAAACAGTATTCGAAATAATGAAGTATTAATATTTTAATATTTCAT